CCCGGGCCCGCGTCCCCCGAGCTCCCGCGACGTTCTCAGCCCAGAGCGCCGGCTGCCGGCTGCCCACCCCGACGCGAGCCCGCCGGAACTCTTGCCCTGGTCTCGGCCCAGCCTGCACCTCTTCCTACCGGACCCCTGGTCATGCGCCCTTTACCTCCGGACGCCCCGGCCGTCTCTGCCCGCTCCTCCCCTGCAGAACTGTCAGAAGTTCTCGTGAACTAGGCCCCTCTCATCCCGCAGTCCCCTCTCCACCCTGCCTCCCCTCTCCCTGGGCTGGGAACCGGCGTTTCGCGCGGTCCTCTTCGGCGGGGAGGGAGCCAGAGTCTGCGCCGACCCGACGCGCCGAGCTCCACGTGTCAGTCCCAGACACGTCAGAGCTGGGACCCCGAGTCCAGCCTCCACCTAGCGGGCCTGCTGCCGATCGTCGCCACGTGTCATCCCCAGGACTCACCCCTGGAGCCCCTTGGCAGGTTGGGGGAGATTCTTCTCACCCAGGGCGAGTAGGGGCATGTTGCCCCCTCCCCAGGGAACCCAGGTCCCTGACTGTCACTCTTGCCCACAGTAAGAGCTACGGCAATGTGCTGGTGTTGGACGGCGTCATCCAGTGCACAGAGAGGGATGAGTTCTCCTACCAGGAGATGATAGCCAACCTGCCCCTCTGCAGCCACCCCAACCCACGCAAGGTACTCTCCCTCCCACCCAGACCCAGCCCTGAGCCCAGTGATAGATCCCACAGAACAGTTTGGGGGGCCCCAGATGTGTCTAGTGCTCAGCCCAGGTGCTTCCCAAATGCTTGTCAGAGAAAGTGCTGGGAAGGACAAGGGGCCTAATGGAGGAGCACTCCCATTTCACAAGGGTCGGGGGCAGACAGCCTGACTGAGGCCTGAAGCTTAAGAAGGAGCAGCCTTGGCAGGAGTTTCCAGGAAAAGGGGACCCCTCCTGCCAGGTTCCTGGGGCAGGAAAGCTTTTCTAAAAGTAGAAAGTGAAGTACTGAGGTCTGTGAATCAGAGGAGCTGAGAAATTGTTCCAGATGGTTCTGTCTGCTCAGTGCAGTTTGAGGGGCAGGCGGGTAGGCCACTGAGCCCTGTTGGAGCCTGCATGGTAGGGCTGGTGCCCAGAGCCCTGCTCATGGCTGATTCTTCCTCCTGCCAGGTGCTGATCATCGGGGGCGGGGATGGGGGTGTCCTGCGGGAAGTGGTCAAGCATTCCTCCGTGGAGTCCGTGGTTCAGTGCGAGATTGATGAGGTGAGTGCCCAGAGCTGCTGGGCGGGGTCTGGCTTCAAGTCCCAATTCGCCCTGAATTGGCTGTTTACCCTTGGGCAAGTTGCTTAACATTTCTAGGACTGTTTCATGGTCTTAAGAACATGTTGGGAGGATTCAGGAGGAAAATCAGACAGTAAAGCACCTGACACATACGTGTGCCACCAAGGCTAGTTCTTAATAAGACTAAGAGGTGATTTGTCACAGAAGTCCCAGGGGACTCCAGCCACTAGGGCATCCCCCCTTTACAGCAGCATGTTTTCGTGAGCACCTGTGTAGCAGGTCCACGCCCTGCCTCCTTGGAGCTGATGTTATGGTTAGGAGGAGGAAGGGGTATCTGATAAAGATGTGCAAGGCGAAGCAGGCCCCTAGGGCGTGGATTGGAGCTGAGGCCTGAATGGGAAGCAGCTGGCCATGTGGAGGCAGGGACAGGCCCTCCCGGTGGAGGCTGGAATTGCCGCCTCTGAAATAAATAGCAAGAAAGGCACTCGGTTGGGGTGGTTGAGTCTAGGGAGAGGGAACAGGAGCTGGCCCTCTGAGAAGTTATGCGGAGGTACCAGACTGCTCCCTGTTTTACAGTTGTGCAAACTGGGGTTGCACAAAGGGAATGGCTTGTCCAAGGTGACTGGGCTATGAGAGGGAGTCCCACTCGACTTTGTTTGGCTCCTGGGCCCCCAACCCCCGTGGCCCAGCCTGTTCCCTCCTATCCCCTCCCCAGGATGTCATTCAGGTCTCTAAGAAGTTCCTGCCGGGCATGGCCGTTGGCTACTCTAGCTCAAAACTGACCCTACACGTAGGCGACGGTTTTGAGTTCATGAAACAGAACCAGGACGCCTTTGACATCATCATCACTGATTCCTCAGACCCCATGGGTAAGCAAGGGTTGGGCCTGGGGCCTCCGGCAGCCACCAGTAGGGGGGTGGGGCAGCCTCCCGATCTGTGTCCCAGGCCTGAGTTGGAGGAGAGGACCGAGGAGCCACCGGACCTAGTGTGGTACTTTTCCCTTCTGAGTTGTCTGCTTCCCCCTCAAACATGGCTCAGCAGAGTAGGGGGCCTGGGCTACTGTCCAAAGTCCACAAGTTGGTTGGGGACCTGGAGGAGAGTGGGGCTCTGGCCTTGGTCTGCTGAGGCCTCAGTTTCCTCTTCAGCCTCCTCTCTGCTCTTGACAGACCGGCATCCAAGTGTGTGCAGGGATCTAGTCTTAGACCAAGGCCCAGGGCAGAGATTCCCCTGATGCAGTGCTGATGAGGATCCCCCAGGAATGGGGTTAAAATGTGGAGCTCCCCCCATACTGGGGTAGTGGAACCCTGCATCCCTCAAAAGCATCCTATTTGTGGTTGGTTTCTGAATTCCAAAGACCTGGCTTCAATTCCCAGCTCTGCCTCTTGGCAGCTGCCTGGGTCTGTGCGGTGGGGTGACAGTGGCCAGGACCTTACCCCTTCCTCCCCACAGGCCCTGCTGAGAGTCTCTTCAAGGAGTCCTATTACCAGCTCATGAAGACCGCCCTCAAGGAGGATGGCATCCTCTGCTGCCAGGGTGAGCAGGCCTTCCCTCAGGAAAGGGTTGGCTGGGGTGGGACAAGGCGGAGCAGCCTGCCCGATGCCAATGCCGAGATGCTGATGCTGCCGCCGCCTGCCTGACCCCCAGGTGAGTGTCAGTGGCTGCACCTGGACCTCATCAAGGAGATGCGGCAGTTCTGCAAGTCGCTTTTCCCCGTGGTGGACTACGCCTACTGCACCATCCCCACGTACCCCAGTGGCCAGATCGGCTTCATGCTGTGCAGCAAAAACCCAGTGAGCTGCAGGGCTGTCCTGGGGGTGGGAGCGGGCAGATGGGCTCGGACAGCACTCGCCTGAGACCCTCCCCCGCCCCCCCCCCGGTCCCCCAGAGCACCAACTTTCGGGAGCCTGTGCAGCAGCTGACGCAGAAGCAGGTGGAACAGATGCAGCTGAAATACTACAACTCCGATGTGCACCAGGCAGCCTTCGTCCTGCCCGAGTTTGCCCGTAAGGTGAGCTGCCTGTGGGGCAGGGGGACCCAGGGCTCCCCGAGGGGCCGCCTTGGCCTCCACGCAACCCAGCATCCTCCTGACAAGGCCTCATGTCCCACCAGGCTCTGAATGATACGAGCTGAGCCCAGGTGCCGCTGCTGACGCCACCCAGGACCTCGGCCAGGGAGCCTCCAGGGCACCTGGGCCCCCCAGCCCTGGACAAGACCCCTGCTGGCCCACCCACCAGCCAAGTGTTACAGGCCCCAGAATGCTGCCTGGCCGGCCCCGCCGGGTAGACTGTCTGTCTTTCTCTGTGGCGTTCAGCCGCCAAGCTTATACCAGCTGTGTACAGCACCATCTCCACCTTCTGTCACTCCTCACTCACCAAACACGTGTATTTATAACAAAATTCTGAATTTTGTGTCCCTGGACCTCAAATGGGCCCAGGCAGGGGCTGCATCAGCTATTCACGGGTTCCCCGGTGTGCCAGACTCTCCTGGCCCTGCTGTCTGGCCTCTAAGCAGCTGCTGTGTGCATAGGCAGGCCTGCCTCCCTGTATAAGCTTGCACTGGTCCTTTGACCTCTGTAGTACCTAGGGACACACTGGTCATCAAACTGGACCCAGATCTGTCCTGAGAAGCAGGCTTAGTCGTTCCTTCCCCAAGCCCCACACAAGGTTGGTGGTGACACCTGTGGGGCCAAGGCTGGGAGCTTGTAAAGTCAAAGGCTTTGCTTTTCCTTTGGGCTACCTGACAGGGTTCTCAGGAGAATTTGGGCCAGGTCTCACCCTAGGGTAGATGCTGGAGGTGACCGCAGCTGGCTGGGGTCCAGCTACTTGGGCCTGCACATCGGGTGCCTTGACTTGGCTCAGATTTCAGACCTGGGTTCAAATCCTGCCTGCCCCTCCTCATGAGTGTGGCCTCTGATAAATTCCTAGAAGCTTCTCTCAAGTGCTGAGAGGTTGAGAAAGGAGGCGTGGGTTGCCACACCAGGACTGTGGGCACATGACTGTCCCCTCTCCAAGGTGCTGAACCTCCGGGCACCCCAGCCCTCCTGACTGCTGGGACTGAGGCTCTGGTGGTGGGACAGGAGCCACCACAACTGGGTGCAGATTGGGGGAGGGAGCTTCTAGCTTACTCCTACTTCAAGGGGATTGGCAGGGAAGGTCCCTGCTCCTTGCAAAAGGATGTCACCAACCTCCACCCCACATCTGTCCTTAACAGGGCATGGCCAGAGGATGTGTTAACATAGGGGACTTGAGGGTAGGGAAGGGGACAAGGGAGTGGCCCCAACCTGGTGGTGGTTTGATAACACCCCCAACCCCACCCCTACCCTGGGCAGCCACTTTGGAACCCCCACTCAGCAGGGGCTAAGACTGCAGTCATAATGAGCATGGGGAACAAGGGTCCAGCTTTGCCACCAACTCCTTGCATAGCCTCGGCCAGTCACCCAGCCTTCTCTGGGCTTCCTGTGCTTCACCCTCAGGAAGCCACTGGACCAGGAGCAGAAGGAAGACCAGCATGACTAGTGCTGCTTCATCACCTGCTCTAATTCCTTTAAACTTGACTGTCTACCCACGGGAAAGGTATTAGGTCCACTCAAGATTAGGTGACATGCCTAAGGCCACGCCAGGCAACTGGCCTCCCAGGGGCCACCCAACTCAGTCAGCCTCTGCAGCTCTGCCCGAGCACCTTGGGGATCCCAGCAGGGGCACCCACCTGGACCTCCACTCAGCAGCCCTCCCCACAGCCCATCTTACTGGCCAAGCTCCAGGACGATCCATGAGGATGACCCAGGGAGTGAAGGTGGGCAGGGAAGGAGGGGTTCCAGCTCTAGGGGTACTGGACATGGGTTACATTAACTCTGACTTGAGCTGCTCACAACTCCTGACTTGGGTACCCCGTCTGTAAAATGGGAACAATGGTCTGCACCTGTTACAAGGCTTCATTAAGGAGTATGTGTCATGCAGTGCTCACTAAGCTGGTGAAAATCAGGATTTCTTGGGCCAGAGAAGGAGGGGAGAGGGCCCAGGTTGCAGAGAGCTGGGGCCATTCGAGAAACAAAAATGCCTAACCAGAAAGTAGAAGTTGTCTGCAGTGTAAACCCCTCCACTTTCCCAACTTCTAGTGAAACCTGCACATATGTGCAGGCGTGGACGTTAAGGACTAGCACTGAACCCACAATTGGGTGGACGTGATGTAGACATGGACTGATCCACTGAAACAGAAGCAGGCGTTTGGTGGGGATGTGACCTGAGTCCTCCAAAGTCCCAGAAAACTGGAAGAGGGCAGTGAACAGGCCATGTCTGTAGCACGGAGAATAAAATCACTCCTCCATAAAATCTGGAGTTTTGAAGCTCAGTTATTAAAATCAGCCCTGCCCCCGGATGAAAGATTCATACAGCTCCCACGTGGGTTGTTAGGAGAAAACTAGCAGTCATCCTCTGCCCGCTTCTCCTCGGAGGCAGCGTGTCACCTCCTCCAGCTGATTGCTTTGGTATTTACTTTCCTGTCTCTAAATAACATGCTTGTATTACTACTTCTCGCCTAGTCAGTTTTGTCATAATCTGTTGATTTCCCGCTCGGGAAGATGAGGATTTAGCTCTTCGCTCACCTGCTCCCAACACGCTCTCAACAACCAAACGCTGATCTCGGCTGGCGCAGCAGCCCGTGTTTGCACCAGCACAGCTCTGCACAAGCCATTCGCAGCTGAGACCAGGAGAAAACTAACTTTTATCTCTGGCGCAGCTTCTTGTTTTCCCTGGAGGCTTTTCTCGTTCGCTTAGTTTTCAACACATTCATCACTAACTTAGCCCCAAGCTTTTACCAAGTCTCTAAAGCTCTTAAGATCTTTGGACTCAACACGCTTCTTGAGGTTCTGGTCAATGTGCTAATTGATTTTTTTAAATTGTGAGATTTGTATTTTACTTAGTCTCATTAGAGTTTATAATTAATTCATGATTATATTTAATGGAATGTTCAGTAATAAGAAATATTAATGTACATACTATGTACTTTACTTCTTTACCGTGAGTTGTACCATAATGTATATAACATCATTTAGGAAAAATAACTAAACATTTTTTTAAAGAATATTTGGACTCCATAGGTGTCCTCTCATTTTCATCCTCCTCACTACCCCAAATGGAACTTCTTGTTGGACTCTTGTCTCTTGATCCCACGTCTTCCTGTTTCTGGTTTACTCCCCCCCCCTTTTTTTTTTACTTTTAATTTTTTTATTTAAAATCTTTTTTGGTGGGGGAGGTAATTAGGTTTACCTATTTATTTATTACTTTTGGTAGGGGTACTGGGGATTGAACCCGGGACCTCGTGCATGCTAGGCATGCACTCCACCGCTGAGCTGTACCCTCCCCCTACTCCCTTGGTTTGGTGGAGCATATCCTAGAGGAGCTTTCTGAGAAACAGGACAAGGGATGAAGGTTTTAAAAAATCTGAGATGCATGGAAATGTCTATTCCACCTTCTTAATGGATGGGCATAGAATTTGGATGAGTATAGATGTTGGAAATGATCTTTCAACATTTTGAGATTCGCTCTTTTCCATTGTTATTAGTTATCTATTGCTGTGTTTAAAATTAGCCCCAAATATAGCAGATTGAAATAAACATGTCTTTCCTGTGGGTCAGGAATTTGGGAGTGACTTCGCTGGTTGGTTCATTCATGAGGCTGCAGTCACCTGCAGCCTTAACTGGAACTGGAGGGTCAGCTTCCAAGATGGCTCAGTCACATGACAAGCAAATGACACTGACATATGTTAGGAGGCCTCAGTTCCTTCCCGAGTGGACCTCCCCATAGAGACATCATGTGTCCTCATGACATGGTGGCTGGCTTCCCCCAGAGCAAGTGACCCAAGAGAAAGCCAGGTGGACGCTGCAGTGTCTTGTATGGCCTAGCCACACATAACACGCCATCATTTTAGCCATATCCTTCCTATCCATAAGCCCTTTTCAGTGTGGGAGAGGACTACACATGAAGGCATGAATACCCTAACATGAGACTCATGGGAGGCTGTCTTGGAGGCTGGCTTCTAGTTTCCGGTGTTACTTTGAGAACTCCAACATCATCCTCTTCCTGATCCTTTGTGATCTGCTCTGTTTTCTCTCCTTTCCTCTGTCTCTTAGTTTATAGAACGTAACTGTCCTCTCCAGTGTCTTGAAATATCATGTGTCAATTTCTGTTTTTTTCTGTTGTTCTGGCACTTGGAGGACACTGAGTTGGTAAACTTGTGTTCTTTTCAGTTCTGAGAAATTTCCTTGCATAATTTTGTTTATAATTTCCTCTCCTCTGTCTTGTCTTTTTCTGGAATTCCTGTTATTCAATTTTTGACATACTGTATAGGACTTCTTTACTATTTCTATTTTTACTTTGTTTCTTTACTATTTTTCTTTTTTACTCTATCTTCTGGAAGATTTCCTCAATCTTGTCTTCCAAACATTGAGTTTTTCATTTCTATCATGTTTTTGTTTCCCCAAACTATTTCTTGTTCTCTGAACACTCTTGTTAAATAGCATTCTGTTCCTGCTGCTTGTCCTGGCCTTTTTCCTTGGAAGATCTTCATGGCTGCTTCATTTTAGTTTTGGACATTTTCTTCTCACTGCCTCTTTCTGTATTTTTGTTATTGGTGGTGGTGGTGGTGAATTGTTTTGGTCTTTCTCACATGTGAGGTTTCCCTCAGTAGTCCTTGAATGTTCTGCTCATATGTAAGACTAGGGACTAAAAAGCTAATTGGAAGCTCTGAGCTCTGACAGGTTTGTCAGCTGAGTTTCACAGTGGGTGATGTGGCTGAGTCATTTGCTTGTAGAACCTTAACATCAGTATCTTTAGGTCTTTTCTCCTGAACTGATCACACTTCCCAGGAAAAAGGGACAAGCCTGGCGGCTGCCAGATTCTAGCAGCTGAGTCAGAGGAAGGCCAGCCTGGCTGCTGAAGGCCCCTGTTTTCTGTGTGCCCCTCCCACGCTCAGCTGGGCCTAGGGCTCTCCGTATACTCCCTCCAAGAATAAGCCTCCGAGTTCCTGCTGGGGCTGGGGGATGGGAGGTAGGGACTGGCAGGATTCTTAAAAGTGGCCAGAAGGACTTGATACTGCCAATTCCTGATTCCACTGCCAGCTTAGAGTTGCTTCCTAGAGCATTGTTTCCACCTGTCCATCTGTTTTTCCAGTTTCCGAAATGTTGATGCTGCCTCCTCTCCCGTATTCCCCGTGGTCGTGGACTCGTGTTTTTAAAACTTCCCTTTTCTGTCTTAAAGTATGTTCAGGAGGGAAAGGTCGATGCATGTGTGCACTCCCCCTTCTCTACCTAGAAGCCATCATTGTCAAGATCATTGTCACGGAGACCCTGGCTGACCTCAGATGTCACACACTTCAGGGGAGCCAGGGGGGTTAAGGGTGAGGGACAGAGCCAGGTTTTGTTCCCAGGGCTGGCTGTCATCCAGGCTCAGCCCCTGGCTCCTGGAGCATCCTGTCCTCCCTGCCTGGAAGTCTGGGCAGGCAGGAGTCATGGGGTATATTCCCAGAATCCCAGGGTCAGGGAGGCTGGGGGCAGGGCCAGGCGTTGGACAAACAGATCAAAGGTGAGGCCCTCCAGATCAAACAGATCAGAGGCTGGGACTCCAGATCAGGCCTGGCCAGCTGGACGACGAGTGCCATGAGGTGGGCAGAAGCCCCCCGAGCCTCCCTGGCAGGGGTGAGGGGTGAGAACAGGCCTCACCACCCCTCCCCCACCATGCTGCCTGCAGGCTGCTGCTCTTCCTGGGGCTGCTGTGGGGCGCGGCAGCCACACCCTCGGGCCCGCAGTGGCCCGAGCCCATGTTCGGGCGCCTGGCATCTCCCGGCTTCCCAGGCAAGTATGGCAACAACGAGGAGCAGCGCTGGACCCTGACCGCACCCCCCGGCTACCGCCTGCGCCTCTACTTCACCCACTTCCACCTGGAGCCCTCCTACCTCTGCGAGTACGACTTCGTCAAGGTGCCACAGGGCTGGAGGGCCTGGACACACTCGGGCTGGGGGTTGTCCCCAAAGACCGACCAGGGCTAGGGGACAGGGCCTACTGGGATCAGGGTCTGGCCTGGGAAGAAGGGAGGGCAGGCCTTGGGTCTTCTCTTCCCTCCCTGTGTCCATGACCCCACAGCTGAGCTCCGGGACCAAGGTGCTGGCCACCCTGTGCGGGTGGGAGAGCACGGACACAGAGCAGGCGCCCGGCAACACCACCTTCTACTCACGCGGCTCCAGCCTGGACGTCACCTTCCGCTCTGACTACTCCAACGAGAAGCCTTTCACGGGCTTTGAGGCCTTCTACTCAGCAGAGGGTGAGCTGAGAGGAGGCCGGGTGCGGGAGGGACTAAGATGACCAACCGCAGCTGGGGAGTAACTCTGTCTCAGGCCAGGCCTGTCCTCCCTCCAGTCTCCCTCCGTCCCTCCCTGAGGCAGGATTCATGCCATACCAGCAGGAGAGGCGTCCACACCTGCTCTGACGTCACTGTGATGCGAATACCAGTAACAGACACGACCTCTGCTCTAGACTGAGTCCCGTCCCGCACCAGGTGCTGAGCCAGGGACAGCCTCACGGGCATCGGTGGTGCAAGGGCCGAGTGAGCCCATTTACAGACGGGGAAGTAAAGCTCTGCTAGCCTGAGCCCAGCATCTGCATGTGGGCTTCTAGTCTGACACTTGATTTCAGATTCTGGTTCCTACAGGGACTTGCTGTGTGACCTTGGGCAAGTGGCTCAACCTCTCTATGCTCCTCCCAGGGCTGCTACAAGGGTTCAGTGAAATCTGTGTAGAGGCCCGCCCACTGGTTCCCTTGCTGGCTGCTGCCTTCACTAGCCTGGCCACTTTGAGCAGGACTCTTAACCCGGTTTAAAAAAGGTGGTGTTTATGTCACCCTCCAAGTGTTGCAGGGAGGTGGCAGTGACCCTAGGCCCCCAGTGCTTGGCTGGGCATGGGCCTCCTTCAGACACAAGGAGGCTCCTCTCAGGTCAGCCATGAGGCCCAGGCCCCAGCGCTGTCCTATCTCCTTCCCGGCTGACTGCTTGCCTGGCCCGCCCCTCCCCTAGACATCGATGAGTGCCAGGCGCCCCCAGGGGAGGCCCCCACCTGCGACCACCACTGCCACAATTACCTGGGCGGCTTCTACTGCTCCTGCCGTGCAGGCTATGTTCTCCACCAGAACAAGCGCACCTGCTCAGGTGAGCTGGGGCTGCACAGAGGGGAACGGGGTGGGGTGGGGAGGACCCTGTGCCTGGCCCAGCCCTGACCCGCCTCAGGATACAGCTGGCTCCTTAAGGCCATAGCTTCTCTGCCCAGGCAACTGAAGGGACTACTGGCCTTGGCCCACTGAACACTTCTGGGGGGTCGGCCCCTCCTCTGATATTCTGTCCTCTCTCCCAACCATCCACCCATCTATCCACTCACGTTCTCCAATTCCTTGCCCGCCTCTGCCCCATCCTTGGCTCATTCTCACTCCTTTTCAGCTCATTCACTTGGTGAACATGTGCTGAGCCCTCACTGTGTACTTGGCCAGCCAGGGCTCACCCTCCATGAAACTTCAGGGTGGGGGCAGGGCCTGCTCAAAGCTGCTGGTTCGGCCCCCAGCAGGCCAACCTCTTTGGCCTCCACTGCACGGACCCTGCTCTGCACCTCTGCCAGGGCCTGGATGGGAAACCAGCTGGTGCCCTGGGGAGCGAGCAGCCCCAACCCTCAGTGCTGACCCTGCCTCCCCCTTGACTCAGCGTCCCTCCCCTGTGTCTCTGTCTCTCTGTTCTCTCTTCCAGAGCAGAGCCTCTAGCCTCCCCTCCAGCTCCAGTCTGGGCTGGGCGAGAGTGCTGCTGCCTGAAGCCCCCATTGACCCCACCTCGGACCTAACAATAAACCTGGCTCCACCTCCACTTGCTGCATGTCTCTGGAGGGGCACAGGGTGCAGGAGGGCAGCGGTCTGCATGCTGGCCCCTCTCTTCTCCTACCCTCATCTTAGCCTGAGGAACTCTAGTCGATGGGAGCCCCCTCCACAGGGCCACAGGCTCCTTCATCAGAAGGGCTTGCTCTGCCCCCCAAACCTCATTTTGAAACAGGGCACTGAGGCCCAGACAGGGGCTGGGGCTGGCCTGAGTTCACACAGGGGAGCAAGCTGACTACTCCCCCACTGAGAATCCAAGTGCTGAGCGCAGACCATCCTTGGGTCTGCCTTCTGTTCAGAGGGCAACTCAGGTCTCATGTGTGCTGGGTGGGGGGAGCCTGATCCAGAGCAGGGAGGCCCAGGGAAATATCATGGATTTATCGATGGGCAGGCTGGTCCCCCATATCCAGGGACAGCTCCCTCTGCCCCATGAGGGGCAGCCATGTGGAAGAAGAAAGGCAGTACCAGGACCCCTCCGAAAGCCTCCAGCTCAAATGCCTGTGTCCCCTGCTTTGTCCATGGGGAGTCGGGGGCAGACCCTCCCATGAGTGACACTCTCTCTGCAATGGCAGAATCAGCTGTTCTGATGGGGAAAGCAGGCACTAGACTCGCTTATGATCCATATGAACTTGAACTTCCTTCACCTGCCTGCCCAGGGCAGAGCCCAGACTCAGGGAAGGTGGGCAAGGGTAATAGGTTGCCCTGACCATTCCCGAAGGGGGCCCAGGGGAAGCTGGGCTGCACTGGCCAGGCCTGGGTACTGGTGGGTGGGGAGCCTCATGGTGGATGAACTTAGAAGTTGCTGGAGTCAGCGCCGGGTGAGGGGTCCTCAGTCTAAGGACAGTCCCCTCCTCCCCCCTCTCTCCCTCGATTCCTTTGGGAACAAGGAAAGTCCCTTTCCCTTTACTTGGTGCAGACCCTAGGCAGACCGTGACATCCCTCCCACACTTCCCTCACCCCTGGAGTTGTGACTCTGGCCCTGGGTTCCCCAAACCACGAGCCTCAACTTAGGGCCCCTATCATCCCTGGGGTTATGAGTGTGGCCTCTGGAGAATGTATATCCAAGTGTCGCCTGTTTCAGCTCAAGCCTGGAAGCCAGGGAAACCTCCCCACTAAACTGTCCCTCAGACACTGGGGTGGGGCATTCAGTTTTGGGAGGTGCTTCTGGGGCTGGCGTGTGAGGGTGGACAGGCGGGCCTGAGCTACGCTGCCTGCACCCAGCTCACCCCGCCTGCCCTCCCCCTTCTCCCAAGCCCAGTGTTCAGGCCAGGTCTTCACCGCCCGGTCTGGGGTGCTCAGCAGCCCTGAATACCCGAAGCCATACCCCAAACTCTCCAGCTGCACATACAGCGTCCGCCTGGAGGAGGGGTTCAGTGTCATCCTGGACTTCGCGGAGTCCTTCGACGTGGAGATGCACCCCGAGAGCCACTGCCCCTATGACTCCCTCAAGGTCTGGTTCCCGGGCCCCCGCCTCACCCTGGCTCAGCAGGTCCTGAGGTGACAGGGCCTCTACGCTTTCAGATTCAAACAGATAAAGAGGAATATGGCCCGTTTTGTGGGAAGACGTTGCCCCGCAGGATTGAAACCAAGAGCAACACCGTGACCATCACCTTTGTCACCGATCAGTCGGGGGACCACACAGGCTGGAAGATCCACTACACCAGCACAGGTGAGGGCAGGAGGGCCTTGGATTCTAGCAGGAAGCTCTTCCAGAAATGTCAAGAGCCACACAGGATGGAATTCTTCCTGGCCAGACCTGGGAGCGTAGGTGAGGAAAAGTTTTCCTTAATCCTTGTAGTGTCCCTGGCTGGGTCTGAAAAGCAAACTGACAAAGACAGGTTAACAGGAAAAAAGCATATACATTTATTTCATGTAAGTTATATATGCGGCACAGGAGCCTTCATAAAAAAATGAAGACCCAAAGAGACAGCTAGACCTGTGCGCTTCTGTGCCAGGCTCGCTGAGGAGTGTGGCAGGTTAAGGAGTATGACACAGGGGAGTAAACCGGGGGAAACTTGGCAAGGCCTGTTTGTAAGGATTCCTCTTGGCACATTTTTGTCTTCAGTGATAAGGCTTCCATCTGGGTATAGGGAAGACACTGTCACATGAGGGTCTTGTGACCTGCTTCAGGGGAGAAGGGTGAGGTAGGGGAGTCAGAATGACCTTCCTGCTTCTGCCATTTTCTCAAACCCTCTCAGCTTAAAATATTCAACTTGCCAAGGAGCTGTATTTTGGGGTAGTGTGTCCTGCACTCCATCAGAAGACAGACTAGATTTGAATGTGGGTGGTTTGTGAGGCAGTGGTCCCCATGAGGGAAATGCCATCCACCCACCCACTCACTCACCCATGCACCCATTCACCATCCCTCCTTCCACCCACCCATCCATCTCCCCAAACAACTGTCACTCCCACCCACCCTCCCCACAACCAACCGTCTCTCCTTTCATCCGTCCACCCAGCCAGTCAACCATCCCTTCTTCCATCTGTAGGGGAGGAAAAATCAGCTTTCCCTCTGCCCTTCTAAATTCTTGGCTGGGAACAAAAGACAGACCAACAAGAGAAAAATAGAAGTTTGTGAACATGTATGTCTCATGTATACATGGGAGATAACCCAGAGGAAAATGAGTTAAGTCTCAAAGGTGGCTTAGAATTCAAGCTCAAATACCATCTCCAGCTAAAGACAAAAAAGAGAAAGGGAATAGCAGAGGTCAGTTATGCAGAGGTGACCAGGAAAAGCATGTAGCAGGAGGAAAGTTGATTATGCAGATTTAAGACCCTGCCCTCTCCTTTGATAAGAGTTTCTAGTGATTTGGTCATCTTTCTCCTGATACAGAGCGGGAGACACTCTTACAAACAGAGATTTCCTTTGTAAATGTAAATTTCCCTTAGAAAAGGGTAATTTCTATTCCATTTTCAGAGTTTCTCCTGTGTTCACTGTTTCACAAAATAATCAGCTAAAAATACAGTTGGCCCCCCACATATACAGCGATACAGATGACTGACACTCTACCATTTTATCTAAAGGACTTGAGCATCTGCAGGTTTTGGTATCCACTGGGGTCTGGGAACCAATCCCCCACAGACACCAAGGGACAACTGTAATCCTTATGCCAAAGAGGCATATTTCAGAGTGCAATATCCTGCCACCCATCACATACATCCACCTGTCCAGCCTTCCCTCCCTCCCGTGCTTCCATTCATCCATCTGTCGTATGGATGTGCACCAGGCCCTGTGTGGGGAATACGTAATGCCTCTGCCCTCAGTCCAGTCTAGTCACAGCAATGTGACCACAGCCCAGGGACAAGCACAGACAAGCACCAGACAGGATAAGAGTCCAGGGGAGGGACCTGGCCCAGGCAGGGGCTGGAAGCTAAGGAAAGCATCCTGGGACAGAAAAAATGCGAGATTGGATTTAAAGAGTAAGTAGGTATTGGAGGAAGGTGGAAGGGTGTTCCAAGTGGAAGGTAAGAGTATGTGCAAAAGCCCAGAGGCTCCGCCTTCTTGGCATGGAGCTGTAGAGGGTGTGATGGGGTGGGCAGAGATGGGGGGGGGTCTAGACTGGAGCTACAGGCAGAGTCTGCAGCTGGAGCTGTGCACTCCACCTCCCTGAACTGCCTCCACTGGCCCTGCCTCCACGTTTAGGAACTCCCGGGCCTTCTGCCACCTCTTCCTTGTGACAGGCCCTCCAGCGCTAGAAGGTAGTCCACTGGAGGCACCTCCTTAGACATAGTCCAAGTCCCCCCACCTTCCCAGCACTGACCTCTGGACCCATCTGTCCCTCTCACCACTTTCAGCCAACAGGTCTTTCAGGTTGTTTTTGGAAAAACAGAGTAACTGAGCTGAGGAGGCAGGAACTGGAGACAGCTCCAAAGCAAAAAACCCAAGGACCCAAGGCATGCTCAGAGCACAGGCTGGGTGTCAGACTGCCCCGTTTTGTGTCCTGGCTCTACTGCCTCTTGGCCAGATGACATTGAACCTCTTACATAACTTGTCTGAGCCTTAGTGTCCCAATTATCCAATGAAGGGCTTGGAAAGGTGGGGATTCGTGGGTTAAGGCAGAAGGCACAGGCACATGGTGTGCATGGAGGAGGTGGTCATCAGATTATAGGCACTGGAGTAATTTAAAAAATGAGGAAACTGGATTAGAAAAGATTAACCCTTGGGCCACCTCTGTTGGAAGTGTGGGAAAGGGTGAGAGACTGGTCAGGAGGGAAGAGACCAGCAGTTTGGGAACATTTCATATGCTTCCTGTTCATTTTATTTTTGGGGGGGGTGGAGGTTATTAGGTTTATTTATTTATTATTATTATCATCAATTTAATGGAGGTACTGGGGATCGAACCCATGACCACTGAGCTATATACCCTCCTCCCGTTTGTTTTTTTGAAAGCCTTTTGTTTTCCTGTAGGTCAAAATTATGACACTTCCAAAACTGGGGTGCTAGTTTCAGAGCAAGTCAGAGGAAGAGTCAGGTGTGCCAGGCTGGTGGGTGAGAAGGGGCAGGGACAGAGCCTAGAGGTGCTGGCAAAGGAAGGCATGAGCAGGGCCTTGGCTTGGGTATGAAGTGGCCTCGGGAAGCCCTGGGCCTCTGCAGGGCCACCCAGGACGTCCCTGGACATCAGCAAAGCGCTTCCGTCCGTGCTTCACATCCAGTCCTCACAACAGCACTTGAAGGTGAGCAGCCATTCTCGTCACTCTCAGCTTACAGACGAGGAAACAGGCTTTCCTGTGAGGCAAACCCATGCAGTCCAGCTTGCTCCCTCCAAGTCACACTCCCCCGTTCTCAGCCATGAGTGCGAGGCTCCTGGCACGGGGCAGATGCTCCCTTTGCCGTGGCTGTGCTCCCTTACCGCGGGCCTGGCTTTCTTTCCATCACTTTTGGCTAAAGCCCAGTCCAGGCAACAAATCCTAATTTGTACAACATGCAACACCGAGAGTTTAATCTTCCCTTTGGTTTTGAATCTTAAGAACCCTACCCAACTTGTGGCAAGCTCTCTTTACACGTTGGATGTTTCATTTATAAATCAAGAACTTCTAATTGCTAAACTCAGACTTGCCTGCTATAGCCCACATCCAAACCCACATGCCTGGTTTCCTTACTCAGCTCAGCCTTGCCCTGATCCGACGGCGCCACCTAATGGCCACATCTCCCCCGTGCAAGCCAAATATATCCTGAAAGACCGCTTCTTCGTCTTTTGCGAGACAGGCTACGAACTTCTGCAAGTAAGTTAATACAAAACTGTAAGTGCACCATAACCATGATGGTTTAAAAGTGCATTCATATTTATATCAACAAATGTGTGAAAGGAAAATGGGAAAATGGCTGTTGTCATGGTCATCTTTTCCCTATGGTTAAACAATAAAATTCAAAGAAACGATACATTTGCTAAGAGAAATGGCTATAGAGAATTTTTTATTCTTAGGAATTCTGCTTTTTGAAAAAGCTTTTCTTGGAAAGCTGATGATTAAAATGAACACCTCTTCTCTGTTCACACATTACAGCAGCTCTCAGTAAAGTGGCTGAAACGAGCCTGCCATCCACGTTCCACGTGCGCTGTGGTATCACCTTGCATTAAATCAAGCTCCTCCTCCTGGTCAAATGACCTTTACATGAAACAAATCCTGGCCCTATAAAAAATTAGCTCCTGCAAATAGTATATTCTTCAAAGTTATAAACAGTGACCACTGTTAAGGGAGAGAGAGACTAATTTCAAAAAAATGCTTAGTGTGTTGCTTTAGGGGCACAGGTAAGAGATTAACATGTCCTCTTTATGTTCTTCAAAATTGTCACTGAATCCCAGTGGTAAAAAGTAATAACATTGAAATGCTAGCTAGCTATGCAATCCAGTCCTGTGGAGGGGCAAAACCAAAAAATAAATAAATAAATAAATAAAGACACTTTTCTCACCTTGCAAACTTCTGGGCAGGCTCTTTCTACATCATCTTTGGCTGCAAACTTGTTCAGTTTCTGATGAAAAAAAAAAATCCTGTTTTCCTTTGGAGCATAAAGCCTCTCCAAAGCTTTACTTATGTTTCAATAAGTGAAAATCTTTTACTCTATAAGTATTAGCACTGGAAACTGAGAAAACGTGGGAAGCTTATGGAAGTATTTTAAATGACTTCCAGCTAATAGCCACAGGCTAGAAAAATCCATTTGCATTCACTCTGTCTGATCAGCTTGGCCTTCCCCAAACTTTTTTTTTTTTTTTTGGTTTTGAACCTTTAATAAAAGTTAAAAGATGAATGCAAAAGAATACAATGCTGAAAACTTAGTAGGAAGGTGAATTTCACTAGATGTTCAAATCTGGTATAGTGCAAATTTTGTTCATACTATTTCACCTTTTTGTTTTGTTTTGTTTTTTTGAAGTCTGTTTTGGGGGGAAGGTAAGGAGGTTTATGTATTTATTTTAATAGAGGTACTGGGGATTGAACCCAGGGCCTCCTGCATGCTAAGCATGCGCTCTGCCACTGAGCTGTACCCTCCCCCCAGACTATTTTATACTTTTACAAACTCAAATCACTTTGGTTCATATACTTGCTATAAAGTATTGGCAACAAAATTTATTCAGATTCACATCTTTTGGCTACATTGTTTCTAACAGATATAATTTATTACAATTTATAAATTTATAATTTATTTCCAGTTTAAGAATAATAATACTTGTTTGTGCATATTGAAGTATATTTGATTCAATTACTGCTTTCATCTGATAGCTTCTGGTTTTTCACAAAATGCTGACATGGCCTTCCCCAAATTTTTGTGAGTGGGAGGTAATCAGGTTAATTAATTAAAATGGAGGTACTGGGGATTGAATCTAGGACCTTGTGCATGCTAAGTACACACTCTACCACTGAGCTATTTCCATCCCCCCTCCCCAAACTTTTGACCATCACCCTTTGGCACTTTAAGAGATGGTGGAACATCAGCATTGTTGATCAATTTGTGAGATCTGATATATTCTTGGATTGAAGTGGAAAGCAGAAAATATAAGTTGCTGCAGAGGTCAACATTTGATTCCTAAAATGCCAATACATCTTGAAAAGTGAGATATACACATAGGTGACATACCAAATCTGCACACGTATCAAGGCAGTTGGGCTGCGTGTCGTCATGTGGGTACAGCACCCCCTTGGGAGCATCTCCTGAAACACTAGAAGAGGAACTGTGGGAGCAGAGCTTTGGGCAGTGGTTTCACGATGTAAACAAGGACATTAATATTTTCTCAATTCTCCTTTAGGGTAATTTGCCCCTGAAATCATTTGCTGCAGTCTGTCAGAAAGATGGATCTTGGGACCAACCGATGCCCGAGTGCAGCAGTACGTATGTGACCACAATGCCCACAGCTGTTTTCTGCTACTACTGCTTCTATCGCTTTTTCTGGTCTTTTTAAGAAATGGTTTTATTTACCAGGGCTTGAACTCTGAATTTGCTTCTCTTCCTGAGTCTCTTGCACTCTTAGAGGTTAAAACGGGACCAAGCTACTGGGAGAGGTATTTGCTTTAGAATGGTCTATTTTAAAATATTTTCCTAAGTATAAAATACTCATAGATGGGACAGAGAAAATTACACTGTAATATTCAGAATCCTGCTGTATGAGAGCATAATCACCGTTGCTATTTCGGTGTATATCCTTCCAGTTACATGTCTCACACACGTAAACACGTACAGGCTACTGTCTGTAGGGATAGGGGTAACTGTGGTATGTGTACACACACACACCCCAAACTGGGATGAGGGTGTTCATTACTATTTTGTGAACTAAGAATCATGTATCTTATTTCTAAGTTTTAAATTATAACATACGTATGAACTGGAAAAAACAAAAAACACATACAAAAATTTATAGTGAAAGCCCCAAAGTATCTCTAAGACACTGGGGTCCATTCCTTCACATTCTTTTATCTCCTATGCTATTTATACTAACGTATTTCACTATTACATACTTTTTAACCAAAATGAGATACTGTTATCTGATTGCAGTGTACTCTTCCCCTCCATAATGTTAGGATATCTTTCCACATTGATCCAAGTATTAATACAGCCCCTTGTCCTTTTAATGACTGCATAGTATTCCACCAGAAGTCCTATGCTTTTACCTCATGATTTCTATTATTTCCAGTGTTTTACTATTACATACACTGCTGTAGTTAATAACCTGTATATAGATTTCCACATTTTGTGCACGAGTTTCTACAAAATTCCCGGGAGAATTTATTCATTTCAAAAATTTACATTCCCATGAGACTACCAATTCTTTTAGTTCAAAAAACAGTAGAGTTGGCACTGAAGGGAATGTTGGAGTAAGAGGTATGGGTTTGAGCCCCGATTCTGCCACTTCTCACTGGGTAGTTACAGGCATCTTATCTGTAGAGAATCAGACAACGTATCGGCAGAGCCAGACACACTGCTATTAAGTTGCTGAAATCTAAGTGCAGTCTTTAAATATCCACAGAAATCCATCAACAATTTTTAATGTTTACTGTGTAGAAAACTATGACTCTCAGACTGGTATCAGTGTCTCACAAATTGGTTACTTCACATTCGTAAGTCCTAACAGGTGTGAATTCTAACCCAAACCAGGCCTTCTGAAAAGTTCAACTTAGGAAAAGGACCGTGAGAAAAAGCTGAGTCCTTCGGTCGTCTTTGTACTGTTGTATCCTTTTCTATCTTTTAAGGGCAACCAAATTTTTGCCATTTTACATCCAATCCGGCTGCACAGGCTGTGCTGTTTCCTTCCTTCCGTGTTGCTGTGCTCTGCTGCACAAGGGTGTATTCAGCAAATGACAACCACCTCTCACACGTGAGAGTGCTAAGGTGGTTTCAAATTCGCTTCCTTTAGGGAAGGCATCATGCCACTCCTTGCCCAGGGGCTTTCACTTCAATCCAGCCATTTAGTCAGGAATGGGAGAGTGATGCTTTAAAATGACACTAGGGCGATTCTCTCCATTTTCAGAGATTAAACAGATGTCCACCACACAGGGCAAAACAAATACTTCAAGCTACAGCACCACACAGCACAACCACCTATCAGGCTCCGTGTCTTTTTGATGTTAGTATTCAAAGTACAGACGGACTCTTCCCTCTCCCTCATTTATCAGTCGTTGACTGTGGTCCTCCTGATGATCTACCCAGTGGCCAAGTAGAGTACATCACAGGTCCCGAAGTGACCACATACAAAGCCGTGACTCAATACCGCTGTAACGAGTTCTACGTAATGAGAAAAGACGACGGTAAGCAACCCGCTCGAAGCTGGGGGTGGGTGTTATTGGAACTTAAGCCCTCGTGATCTGAAAATAAACTTACCAACATTTTTTGGCTAAGACTAGACAAAAGATTAAAAGGCAATTTCTTCCACCTGCTAAGTGAACTACTGCAGTTCAAGTGACTTTAATGTCAATTTGCAAGAATCTGAAAACAGATCTTATCTAGTAAATGACTACTACAAACACACAATATATTCCAAATGGTTTAATTTAACAAGTCAAAACCTTATCATTAAGCACTTGAGATCTTGATACATATTCAAGTTACACATCTAAAAGGTTTCCACTTTACAAGCAAACATGGTAATGCAGAGACCTCCTACTTATGAAATCATGTAAAATGGTTATTCAGACACCTCTATTTCCCACTGATGCTCAAGAATCAACATTTTTCAAGGGGGTATTCAAGCAAATGACAACCACCTTTTACATGCAGTTAAAACATTTTTGCTTTTTCAATGATTTGCAGGTAAATATGTGTGTGAGGCTGATGGATTCTGGACGAGCTCCAAAGGAGAAAAATCACTCCCAGTCTGTGAGCCTGGTAATGGATACATCTATACAAGAGATTCATAATTGATGGGAAGTAGAACTGGGTAGGAGACAGTAAGTAGAGCTTTAGCTGTGTAGGCAGAAATGTAACTTCAGCACTTGGCTTAGACCAACTTATTATTTCTAAATATGTTCTCATTATCCCCCTTTCCATATGGAGAGGTTGTTAGGTGCTGACTGCATCAGTCATTTGATTATTTCTGACCTTACTAGGCAAGCATAAAAATTTAAACAATTTTAAAAATTATCTTGAACCATTTATACATTTATAAACAGGAATTCTGCTACTTCTCTGTAAAAATGCTATTAAAACCCAAAGCCAATAACTTCATTATTTCCCTAAGGAATTGTTTTCAATGACATCTAGTTTTTAAAATATTAATGCAATTTGCCTTTTAATGGTACTTTAAAAAATGTTTTACCAGAATTGGCTCTGAAGATATAGTTGAGTGATTTTAAAAAATCAGAAAATAATGTATTTATTACCCGTTATTTGGCTTAGTTTTAAAACAAAAAAACCAACCAAAAAAACCCTCTTAGCTGACACAATGTTTCTAAGTTTTAGTAACAGTATTCTGCCACAACAGGAAACACATTTGCTACATTAATTACATTAAGTATTTAGTTAGCAATATATATATGTAGTAAAGGCTAGTGTTTAGGAATCAACTAGACCAAAAATAATTTCTGAACCTGAAGGTTCCTGGCTACAACTGCAACATTCTAATTTTTAAAACATTTCTGGAGGAGGGTATAGTTCAAGTGGTAGAGCGCATGCTTAGCATGCACAAGGTCCTGGGTTCAATCCCTAGTACTTCCCCTAAAAATAAACCAAATTACCTCCCCCACCAAAAGTAAAATTAAAAAAAAATTCAAATGTTCAAAGGGGAAAGTAATTTTGCGAACCCTGACAGTGACCCTAGTTTCCCCTTTCCTAGAACGTGGTAAATACCCCTACTTTACAAGTAGGAAAACAAGCAATGAAAAGCTTATTTCCTTTCATTTCCTATGCACATCAGCTCAGACAATTCCTATTTGCCCTATTAAATAATTTCCCCAATTGTGAGACCAAATTATTTTAACAAAACAAATTTATTTCTGAAAGTTAATTTTCACTCACCTCATTTTCTGAGGGGTTGAGACATACCAAACAGTTTCTTATCAGGTCTTTTAACAGTGTTCTAAGCAACCTCACTTGCCTGTATAGGTGGACACCCACCAATTCATGTGATGCAGTTTTTGGTCAATGTTAAATATACAAAACTCCAAAGAGGTAATAACTGGAGAAAAACACCACTGGGTTTCTATAAAGGTTCTATACATCTGCTTTTCCCCCCAGTTTGTGGAATATCAACCCATACCACAGGAGGTCGTATATATGGAGGACAACCTGCAAAGCTGGGTGATTTTCCTTGGCAAGTCCTACTATTAGGTGAAACCATAGCAGCAGGTGCACTTCTGTATGACAACTGGATCCTAACAGCTGCTCACAATGTATATGGGCAAAAAGAAGACGCCTCCTCCCTGGACATCAGAATGGGTGCCCTGAAGAGACTGTCAACTCATTATACACAAGCCTGGGCCGAGGCCATTTTTATACATGAAGGTTACACTCACAATGCTGGTTATGATAACGACATAGCATTGATTAAATTGAAGAACAGGGTTGTAATCAATAGCAACATCATGCCTATCTGTTTGCCAAGAAAAGAAGCTGAATCCTTCATGAGGACAAATGACATTGGAACTATATCTGGATGGGGATTAACCCAAAGGGGTTTTCTTGCCAGAAATCTAATGTTTGTTGACATACCAATTGTTGACCATCAAAAATGTACCGCTGCATATGAAAAGAAGTCCTATCCAGGGGGAAAGGTAACTGGTAACATGCTTTGTGCTGGTTTAGAAGCGGGGGGCAAGGATAGCTGTAAAGGTGACAGTGGAGGGGCATTAGTGTTTCTCGATAATGAGACACAGAAGTGGTTCGTGGGAGGAATAGTGTCTTGGGGTTCCATTCATTGTGGGGAAGCAGATCAGTATGGGGTCTACACGAAAGTCATTAACTACATTCCCTGGATCAAGAACATAATTAATAATTTTTAATTTGTATGTTTTCCATCAGTAAATGATTCCCTATCTTTAAAAATACCTTAGCAAAGATCTTGGCAAATTGACCTAAGAAACATTTACATCACAGCTGCCGTTTCACCCCAAAACCAAACCAAACTACAGGGGAGATTGCCTTTCAAGCACTTGGTCTCCACTTGCCAGTTTTCCACCACTTACTCTCTGATTCAAGGGCACATAAACCATTGTAGCAATTTTCGTCTTTGCCAATCCAATAGAAACTCACTGATTAAATCTGCATTGACTTACAAAGTTGTTCTTTCTTACTGATCTGAGAGCATTATATATTATAGCATTAGTGGTTCAGGAATTACCTTGAATCACAGGGATTTCTGATAGATAAATTGGAAATATCAATACTTTATAGCCTAAATATTGACTGATTTCCATGTTAAAACCAGTATCACAAAATGGTGAGATATAATTTTTCACTTATCAAACTGACAGACATGGAACATGGAACAGCACTATTTCACATTGTCAAAGACAACAAATTTTCTAAAGGACAATCTGGCAATATATTTCAACAGTCTTAAAAGTATGCATAGTCTTTGACCTGGTAATTCCAATGCTATGATTTTAATTTAGCTGTAAGGATGTTCTCAGCACTTGGAGATAACCTAAATGATGTTCAGATTCAGAAGACAGTTGAATCAAATGTGGCATTCCCAAAAGATGAAATACAACATTAAAAATAAGTGGTGGTATTATAGATAAATCTGCAGTGTTTTCCTCCTTACAATGAACATGAAGTATCTGGGCACATTTAATCAAACAACAGATTACAGATCACACAATAGCTGAATATAGAACTCAAATACACAATCAACAGTTACTCTAATATTCAACAAAAATTATACTAATTATCACATATATCTTCTGAATTACTAAGTACTTAACATCTTTTTCCTAACGCCAAAATTTAAGCTCACATTTAACCTTAAAAATCTCATTTCATTTTAGTTGGCCACTCCTCCCTAAAAAGATTTAATAGCTAGCTAGCATTTAACAAAATTTTTCATTCTGGCCACAGTTACCATTATACGTAAAAATTCACTGAGTTTTGACTAACTCATGCATATAAAGTGCAACTTCTTGAGACTCACTTTTTAAAGGTAACTTTCCAGCATCTTTGTCACACATAAAAAAACAAAAACAAAAACAAAAAAAACTTGTTTTTCCAGTAAGACTCCAGACACTAAACTGTGGTGACAACAAAAATTTTTATTCAACTGGTTCAAAAGTTTTTAGATGAATGCATTTAGATGACCAAATACTTTAAAAACAAATCTTTGCCAAATAGTTTACTTCTAAACTTCAATTTTTTTTAAGGGTAGAATTAAATACCCATAGCTATGTATTACCACAAACATGTTAATAGAAGGCTACTCAACACTGAACGCCTTCTAAGACTGGTAACTAGATTTATACAAGTGTAAATAAGGGATTAAAACCATGCCATTGACAAGTTAACTTACCCCTGGGCTCCTTGAAGGCTTGTCAGTTTAGTCTTTGGAGGTCCCCGAATACCATTTTAAGTGTTACCATGTTACTGCTGCTGAGTAACAGTGCAAGTGCTAAAATGCAAAATTCAGATGGTACAGGGTTTGGAAATCATGCAATTTAGATGCAGAAAAAAAAAATTAAAACAACGCAAGATCCTTTTACAGAGGAAACTGAATAAACAATGTGGCAACCACAAATCTAAAGGACAACTTCATTTATAAAAATTTAAAACACGTAACTTGCAAAATGACAAACCTATTTATCATAATCTAATTAGAGAAGGGCATTAGGTAAACTATCAACACAGAAACTGTTACATTCTTCCATTAGAAAACGAGCTCGACTCTCACAGAAATTATTTACATAAAAAGCACAATCATCAATGTATTATTGCTTTTACATACTTAACAACGCAGCGTGAGAGTCTAATCTGAGTTCCGTAAGCAATTTTATTCAACATTACTCTATTTTCCCACCTTTGGAAGACAAAGCCCATTTCACTTAACGCTCCCAGACAGACAACCCACCCTGCTAGTTCTTAAAGCTATCAGGCTTCTTAATGGATTTTAGGCACAAGATAATTTGTGGTTTCTTCTACTTTATCCCTATTGCAATTAATTCCACTTTTCAAATCCCAGACTAGAAAGGCGCTGATATTCCCTTCATTTCAATTGATAGGCTTTGCTACAAAGCATTTTAAAATAATTAACATTGTTCTGCCCACTCCCCCAAATAATATGTTTAGACGGCATGATTTCCCGATGGAGATTTATACAGGCCATGTAAATAATACATCACCCAAATGCACAGAGGCACTAAGAAAAAGCTGGAGGGTACTGCTTACCATTTTAGGTGCGGTCACCCAGACTTATTAAAAACTAGATTAAAAAAAAAAAACTTTTCACTTTGGACAATGCAAGAACAAATAGCAATTAAGTCTGGGTATCAGGTGTCAATGCATGACAGGTGATGAATCCATTTGACTTGAGACAACTTTTCAAATAAGTTTATTTGAAGCAAAATAAACTATTGCCAAGAAACTTTATGAAAGTTCCATCTCAAAAGGGTCAAAAAAGGGGAATTAACTGCTATGAATTCTTTGCATTCAGAGCTGCAAAACAAAGACACATATTATTTAAATCAGTTTTATTTAAGAATTTCCAACATTGACAACTCTTATAAAAAGCATCCAAGCACAGGACACAGAACTGCAGCAAACAGCATTCTTATGGGTAGCTAACAGACATTAGAACTTCCACCCTTCTTTGAGACACCCTGAGCTCACTGGTGAACTCTGCTTCCAAATACTCCTGCAAAGCACACCACAAGCTCAGTCCATGTTCTCAACCCATCAGCTTCAGTTCACATTACCACGCTTACAGATCAGTAACAGAAGAGACCACACACCATACAGCATTCACAGCAGTTGACAAAGGGGTAGGGAAAATACAAGTATCGTTTCACTTAACACATTCAGCTAACGTGGGTTACCTAAGAACAGAACTCAAAGTCTTCCAACAGATGTGGATGTCCTTTGAATGCAAAAAACATTCGTACATTATTTGCTATCATTGCTCTCTGCACACTCTCTCACCAAAGCCACAGGATTGAGAGACACATCTCGCCAAGTTAAAAAATATCCATTTTGCACCACCAAGTCTCTGCACGCGCTCTCTCCTTTTCTCGCTCATACTAGCCTTTCATGCCTCGGCACCACCATCAATCCCACACAAGGTTTCAAAAGTTCAAACAGCCTTCTGGTTCCATATCACAGCCTTGCGTTCATAGCGTTGATACGACTCCATGAAATAAAGAGTAGCGGATAAAAATGGGACACCCACCGTCAAAGACGCAGCCTGTGCAGTGTGATGACGAATTCTTGAATGAGAAAGCATGTAGACAGAAGTATTCCTATGGCAGAGTATTTACAGCACTACTTTCAATGAAGTGCTTCTTCCATAAACATTTGAAATGAGATGAACTGCAGAGATTAAATGAAGGCTTCATATTGTACTTTTGTATATGAAGGGAGACAAGTGTTAAAAAACAAAAACAAAAACAAAAGAACCAAACACTGTGACACCACGATCTCCAAAAAGGAGATTTTCCTAAGGAAAAAAATCCATATGGTGGGGTTCAAATTAAAAACAAGGAGAAAAGGATGTAGTTCTAATAAATGGTTTCCATTTTGAACATGCAAAGAATTCACTTGACAAGTCCGGGGATAAAATATTACAGGAGAAACCTTTTGATAAATTGTAGTGTGTTGATTTACCAATCAGGCAAAGAGCAGTTCACTTTCAAACACTCAATATTTCAACCCTTTATGTAACAAAACTTATAAAATTCCTTTAGCTCTTCCTCTTTTTCTAAAGAAAAATGTCAAAAATACTGCTGAATATACTCCACACTGAACAAACCGATTTTGAAAATTCTTAGTACATACGTATTTTACAATATACTTACCATGAGTTTAGAAAAATTTGAATTCCCACCAGTCTATACTGACCAGCTATAACCCAAGGTCTACATTCCCCAGCCAGAAGATTTAGAATCCATGCTTGAGCCAAAGCCTCCATTAAAACCACTGCCTGACCCTGCATTTGATGCTGATCCCCAACCAATTGCTGCCCCTGAATTAGAACCACTATAAGAGTTATTTCCGGAACCAAAGGCCTGATTTGGCTCCCTCTGCATGTTGCCTTGGCTTTGGTTATTACCTGATGGGCCTGACTGATTCTGCTGACTGGCTAACATGCCCATCATACCCCAACTGCTCTGCAGAGCTGCCTGGGCTGCAGCCATCATTGCTGGATTAATGCTAAAAGCACCAAAGTTCATCCCTCCGCCCATATTACTACCTTGATTGTTTCCCAAACCAGCTCCACCCCCTCTACTGTTACCAAATCCACCCTGATTCCCAAAGCCACCTGGATTACCACCAAATCTTCCACTTCTTTCTAACTGTCTATTGCTATTGTGCTTAGGTTCAGCATTGGATATATGTACGCTGATTCCTTTAATGATCAAGTCCTCTCCACAAAGAGACTGGGCAACCTATAAGAAATAAAGAATGTAAATAAAGGAGACTGAATCATTGGCTCATATGTCAAAGTAGTAATAAAACTTAGACTTCCAGCCATTATCTAAACTGGACGAAAAATAAGCAATGAACATTTACTTAATTTAAGCCCGTAAGATAGCATTTAGCTTTAGTAATGGCAGCAGGGAGTTCTTATTTTCAAAGGATATGTAACACTCCCACTTAAAGGTCACACACTAAAAAAATATCTAAGGGGCTATCACAACTATCTAGGCCCATATACCACACAGCTTGCAAGATCAGAGAGCTTAGCTAAAGATGGCAATTAGCTGGAAGGGCAAAGTTCAACACAAACTATCTAATAAGCTGGAACAAAATTATTAAGAGAAAAATACCTGATCATCTGCAAACGTAACAAAGGCAAACGCCCTAAACGGTTTGGGAATGAAGACATCCACCACTTCTCCGTACTGGCAGAAGAACTGCCGTAACTCGTCAGCAGTCATGTCCTCTGTGCAACGCCCAACAAACACCTTTCTGCTTCTCAAAGGCTCATCTGGGCTTTGCTGGTCAAATCAGAAGGAAAAAAAAAAAATCAGAAATATTTCATCCGAGCAATGAAAAGGGCATTACTATAGAGGACGTAACAAAACCTATCTGCCTTTTACATTAGGTAAAGCATTAAGAAAAGTAGGTACATTATTTTTTTGCACTAGCACTTCTCTTTCCTGTAAGACTTAGATGAAGAATAAAATTTTAAAGTTTAAAGTTCATAAAAGTGTATTTGAATTCAGGAAAGTCAGTGATTGAGAAATGTCCTCGCAAAGATGATTATGTTCCCAAATAAGCAAGTCTTGCTTGCTTGGAACAAGTTAGGCTTTTGTGACAAGATTAATGTATTCTAATTGCCTTTATGTTTTAAGATGTATCCGTGCAAGAAATTGTTAACTCACTAAAAATAACAAGAAAAAAAGAATAGAATGACCAATGTCTTATTTTGGGGAGGTAATAAACTAAATATTTCAAATAAGCATATAAAATATTCAGTATGCATTAATGTCCTAAGACTTTAACAAGGCGAAAGATTTTAAGAACATGCCCTGCCACATTTTCCAACCATAATGTTTTATTTTATAGCACCTTCTAAGGAAGTTTGTCAGCAAAAATTG